TTATAGTCTCAGAAAATAAATTAAATAGTATTGTAACTTAACGTTTGATTAATAAGATATTATTTTATTTTATAGGCTTATTATGGACTTTTTATACGTGGTAAACTCCAACCGAACGAAACGGTGTACCTCAGTTCTGGTACGAATTACACGGTCTTAGCTGCCCTCAACATCTTACAAAACAGCAACGTAAAAGTATACGTTGGAGTGCAGAACGAATCGCAAAGAAACTACTTACAAAATATGTACCCTAAGGTCCGYCGTATAAMGATAATATTATGTGGAAAGATTGCACATTTTAGATTTTAAACGTAATTCWTACCRTGTTTTAGATCCCCAAAGACAATATCGTCAACAGTCAGTTCGCAGAACAAGAAATACTCGAGAAAACCAACGGAAATGGTGTAAATTTGATCTTCAACACACTCGAGTCCACTCCATTTAAACTACAGAGTTTCATTCACACTGTGGCGGAAAGTGGACGTGTCGTAGAGTTTGAAAAACAAAAACAAGCGATCGAATCCATTGGTGAGTATAATTATCTGTAAATCTGTTATGTATAATAAAATCTGTACTACACTAGATAAAAATGTAATGAATTAAATCGCGTGATCACAAATTAAATTAGGTATAACCGGGAACCTGAAGAACATTACAATCATAAAAATGAACTTGAGGAGTCTGTTCCACGGGAAATATTCATTACTCGATAAACAGGAGCTCTACAAATATATARCAAATGGAATCAAAACCGGTGAAGTACAGCCATTGCCCACGACTGTGTACTCTTCTGACGAGAGTTTATTAGAAGCTTTCGAGTAAGTCATACATATTTTGAACTTAATTTTTTTACATTTTTTGTCTAAATATTTTATTTTACTTCATAGAAAAACCGTAAGTTTCGACTATTTTGGTAAAATTGTATTGAAAGTTCGCGATGAAGAATCAAAAAAAGTGGTCGTTCCGGCGCCCAAAAAAGTATTGGCAGTACCGAAAACATTTKTTGACCCAGATAAGACTTATGTCGTAATCGGTAAGTATGAATTTAAATTTAAAAAAACAAAAATAGTTTTATTACWTTATAAAATATTTAGGTACCTATTCTTTTTACAAAACGATTGTGCCTRAACTTTTAATTTAATTAAACGTTTTGTTGGTTTCCTACGATTTTCTTTAATTTTCAAATCAATATTTCAGGCGGTCTTAGCGACTTTGGTCTTCAAATGGCCAACTTTTTGGTGACCAGAGGTGCGAAAAAAGTAGTATTGGTGTCTAGCAGTGGAGTCCGTACCGGATTCCAATCGTTGTTCATGCGTAGGTGGAAAGAAAAGAACATCGAGGTTGCCATTATTGAATACGATACGACTAAGCCGGACGAAACCGAAGCGCTGTTGGAAGAAGCCAACCTATTGGGACAGGTCGCCGGAATATTCCACGTGGAAGCTGTGTTACACAGCGTCTCAGCATCGGATTTGACTGTGGCAGATTTCCGGTCAGYGTACAACCAAAAAGCCGCGTCCATCATCAATCTCGACACGGCTTCCCGAAAACTRTGTCCAAATCTCAAATACTTCTTCGTCTGGTCATCGGCAACTTCTGGTCACGGAACAGCCGGCCAAGCTGACCACGGTTACACCGACTCGGCGTTAGGAAAGATCTCTGAAGCTCGAAAAGCGGCCGGATACCCATCGGTAATAGATTTCAAAGTTTTTACTAACATAAGRCGAACGCGTTTCGAGTTTACAATAATTACGTCCCGTCCAGTTTAAAAATACATTTAAAATTATTAGCGTTAATGGAAGTGTATTTGAAATACGTAATCT